TATATATATATATATATATATATATTAGATGTTTCTCCAAGTGCTAACTCAAGTGGTTAAGGACTTAAACTAGATTTTTCCATACAGACAAGTTCAAATACTATTGAGGCAACTTTATTCACTTGGTGGGCAAACCATCCTTAAATAGACTCCTTAGTGCCTAGATATGGATGTTCATCGATTTGGACAATCCAATAAAACTGATGATCCAAATCAAATCAATTAAGTTGGTTGAATTTTTTTTCTTGATCAGATCAAATCTAAAATTAAATTTGACTTTAATTTATTTGGATCATGAATTTACATTTATCCCAAAATCAAATCAATTAAAATTATTATTATTATTTTATTTTGTTGTTATAATTATTATCTTAATTTCATTTTATAATATTGTGATTTTATTGGTGACACATAATGATTTTATTGGAATGCATGAAAATTACTTGGATAATGATTATAACTTATACAAATTAGTTATGCTTGAGGGACTACCTTAAGTTTACATGTTAGAATATTTTAACTTCAAATATTTGATTATGTTTGACGACTTTAATTTCATATTTCTACATGACTTTTTTTTATGTTGAATGTTATTTGCACCATTTTAATAATAGATTTTTATTTAAACTTTGGGATAAAATAATATATTTTTATGCTTTAAAACAGTGTTGTTAAAAAACGGTTAGGGCGGCGCCATACCGGCGTAGCGGCAGCGGCCGCGATCCGTTATGGCAGATTTGGGTATTTATGGCGGGGTTTCGCCATTTTGGAGGTGGCGGCCGTTACGGCGGGTTTTGCGTGGCGGTCCGTGGCGGACATGGTACCGTTTTTGAGCCATTTTTTTTTGTTTTTCGTTTTGGCCCTTTTTTTTCGGTTTGGGCCTTTTTTTTATTTTCTGGTTTGGGCCCGTGTTTGTTTTCCGGGTTGGGCACCCAACAGATGAAATAGGGCATTAGAAACCCTAAATCAATTAGAGTCCCTTTCGTGCAAACCGCCCCCCCGCAACTGCAACGACTCCCACACCGCATCTGCGCCCGTCGCTGACGACGCAACCGCCACCGTCGCCTCCGACTCAACCGCCGCTGTCGCCTCCAACGCAGCTGCCACCGTCGCCGCCTTCGACGTATCCGCCACCATCATGTAAGAACTAAGAAGTGAGTTTCTTCTCCTCCTCCGCTTGCATCACTGTCACGCCACCATTACCTCCGCCACCACCACCGCTGCCTCAGCGCACACCACCCTAGCCTCCCCGCGAGCCACCACCACCTCCGTCGTTACCTCTGCGTGCCACCGTGACCTCCGACCGCACCACCGTGACCTCCGACGATATTTTCTTCCTCCTCCTTTGAGTTTTGCCATCACCACTGCCACCGCATCCGACAATCCGACAATGTCAGGGGAGGCAAATTCAAACTCTCGGCCACCGACAATGTCATCTTCTAGTTCCATTAATTCTAAGAGGAGTGACGTTGCTTGGAAGCATTGTACACCAGTCAGAGAGAATGATAAAAATGAGATTCTTTGTAGTTATTGCCGGAAGGTTATGAAAGGAGGTATCACAAGGGTGAAACAACATTTGATTGGAAAGGCGGGCAATGTTACAACTTGTTTGATGGCTCCTGAAGCTGACAAAGTTGAGATAAGGGCAGCTATGGGTGGGAAGAAGCTGAGGCAAAATGAAGCATTCAAGAAGGCAATGCAAGAGATTGAGGTACAATGTGAAGAAGGATTTTTGGAATATGGAGGTTCTGATTCTCGATTACCTCCAATTGGTGATTTTAGATTGAAAGATACTAGGAAGGGACCTATGGACCTTTACAATCAACCTCAATCTACAGCTGCAAAAAATTGGAAAGACAAGATGGTGCAAGCGGGCATAAGAGAGCTTTGTTTGTGATAAAAAAAGTTGTAGAAAGGGTTTACCAATATATAGCACGCTTTTGGTACCAAGCTGGCATATCTTTCAACTTGATAAAGTTGGAAAGTTTTCAAGATATGATTCGTGAAATTGGGCATTTTGGGAAGCATTTGAAAGCTCCTTCTTATCATGACATTAGAGTACCACTCCTTCAAAAAGAAGTGGAGTTCACTAATGAATTAATGAAGCCACTAAAGGATCAATGGGCAAGTTTTGGGTGTTCCTTAATGTCAGATGCTTGGACTGATAGGAAACAAAGAAGCATAATCAACTTTTTGGTGAACTCCTCTTCTGGGACAATGTTCTTAAGGTCGGTTGATGCATCTGATTATGTAAAGACCGGTGAAAAGATATTTGAGTTGCTGGATTCTATTGTGGAGGAGATTGGAGAGGAAAAGGTTGTCCAAGTTATAACGGACAACGGAAGTAATTATGTTCTTGCTGGTAGGTTGCTAGAGGAGAAAAGAAAAAAAATTTATTGGACTCCTTGTGCTGCACATTGTATAGATTTGATGTTAGAGGACATTGGCAAGCTGCCCCATATAAAGAAGACCATTCAGCGAGCTATCTCTCTTGTTGGCTTCATTTATAGCCATTCAAGCACTTTGAGCATGTTGAGGTTCTTTAGTGAGGGGAGGGAATTAGTCAGACATGCAATCACTCGATTTGCCACATCTTATCTTTCCTTGGAGAGGATTCATCAAGAGAAAACTAATCTTCAAAAGATGTTTGTGTCAGAAGAGTGAATGAAAACAAGCTAGCAAAGGAGGCCAAGGGAAAGGAAGCCACAAAAACTGTCTTGATGCCTAGTTTCTGGAAGAATGTAGTTTTCATTCTGAAAATGATGGCTCCTCTTGTAAAAGTGCTTAGGCTTGTGGATAGTAAGAAAAAACCAACCATGGGCTACATATATGAGGCAATGGACAAGGCAAAGGAAACCATTATGAAATCTTTTAAAAATGAAAGCAAATACAAGGATGTGTTTGAAATCATTGATAAAAGATGGGATATTCAGCTTCATCGCCCTTTACATGCTGCTGGTCACTTTTTGAACCCAGAGTTCTTTTATGCCAACCCACAAATGGAGTTTAATGGTGAGATTATTAGGGGTTTGTATGATTGTATCAATAAATTGCTGGGAGATTTGGAGATGGAAAAGATTGTTCATAAGGAGTTGGCTCACTATAAAGCTGCGAGTGGTATGTTTGGGTGCACAACTGCTATAGCAATGAGGGGTGAAGTTGCACCGGGTAAGAGACAAAACATTGCAACTTTTGAACTATTATTCTCTAAGTCATAAAGTCATTTGCTCAAGTGTTTGTGTTAACATATTTTGTTTGCATTTGTAGCTCAATGGTGGCGGATGTATGGTTCAGATACTCCATATTTGCAACAACTTGCAATAAGGATCCTTAGCTTGACATGTAGTGCTTCGGGTTGTGAACGTAATTGGAGCGTCTTTGAGCAAGTAATTAATTTCTTAATTCCAATTTAAAGTTAATAATCAATGTTTTGCTTATTATTCCTTAAGTAATAAGTATTTATTTAATTGTTTTAGGTTCATACCAAGAGAAGGAATAGACTCGAGCATAAAAGACTACATGACTTGGTATTTGTCAAGTATAATCAAGCACTCCATCAAAGGTATAACCTTAAGGATGAAATCGATCCCATTAGTCTCAATGGGATTGATGATTGCAATGAGTGGCTAATTGGAGAGATGGATGAGGAAGAAGGTGAAGATGAGAGGGTTCATGAAGGAGATGATGACCTTACTTGGAGACAAGTTTATCAAGCTTCGGGACTTGATGAGCCTAGACAATACACTAGGCATCACAAAAGGAGAGGAGCAAGTAGGAACATCTACTAATCCTTCTAAAAAAGCCAAAGGATTAGCTTCAAAGAATAAGGGGAAAAGGGTTGAAGAAGTTGAGGCATCAGAAGATTCTAGCACTAGCAGTGAGTAGGCATGGCAATCTAACCCGCCGCCGTGGGTACTCGCCTGAACCCGCCCCGATTTGGATGGGGAAAACCCGTGTTTATCGGGTTTGGATT